ATATACTAATACAATGTATGACCTAATACAAAAGTTGAAAAGAAAATCGAACTATTTGTTTAGGTACAAAGACATGAGATAGTCTTGATGCAAAATGAACTACATAGAAATAGAAACAATTAGACACACTTAGAAGAAGACACTGTCATCAATAGTATAAACGAATTTCATTAATTGTTGTGTACGTTCTTCAATATTTGTTAGACGAGCTTCAATAATTTTTTGCATTGGAGTAATAAATGATTGTACAGAACGTAAATGTTTTTGTTGATCTTGATCAAGATCTATCATTGAAATTGTGTGCATTATTGATGATGAATGATACTTCTTTTTTCGGCGAATTGCTTGTTTACAAGATTTAACTTTAGCTCGCCAAATCTTTTGAACACTCGAAATCTACAACATAAAAAAAACATGAAAAGGTATTCCGGAATAAAAATAAAAATAGAAACCTGTTCTTGTGTAGGATTTAAGTCGTAAAATAGTTTGACAAGATGTGCATCAGTAATATCAAAGTCTAATAAGATTTTCTTCTGTTTAAAATTGGTACGGAAATAATATAAGCTATTTTCGGCGAGAGTAACAACACCATGAGAGATAACATTCAAAAAACTAACTAAAGCAGTTTTATTGTTTAAGTCACAATCGAATGGATATGATTGTTGTAGATGAAAATTTAAACTATGTTCAGCTTCTTGTAGTCGATTTTGAATGATTGTTTGTCGACGTTGAATATTGAACTTTGTTTTTGTATGATCCCAATTGATAGAATTTTTTTTCGTAACATCTTTACCAGCTTCTGATAACCAAATCACAACAGGCATACTTATTAAATTATCAATAGAGTTCCAATAATCCTGTTCAAATTTTAATTGCAAAATAGAACATACAAGTTCAGTACGCTGTTGAATGAAATGTAACATGGGCACATTAACGTAACATTCTTTAATATGATGTTGAGAAGAAGCAGGAATGACCTTCATTAGTGCGTCTTTGAATTGATAAGGTGATAATTTTTTATAATTTGGTATGAGTTTTGACATTTGTTTCCAGTGATCATTACACAAATTGTAACGTTGGCATCTCTTTGGAAATCTTGTAGTTGACGGTGAAGGCCATTTTCCTTTTTCTGTTGATTGTGAACATAAAAATGGTTCAATGGTTGAATCAAGTTTTAAATGTCCACCCGTATGTTGATATTCATTTGTACAATTCTATGAGGAACCAAAGAAAAGCATTACTATAACAATACCTGAATTCTGATCATACCTGATTTCCGATCAATGTTGACATGTTGAGGATGTTACTGATCGTATTTATTAATGGTGAGGCATTCTTTGGATCTTCATATGTATTTTGAAGTTTTGCCTGAACCAATGTATTTGCTTTTTTAAGCAACAATAACATTTCAATTGCATGATCAGTCATTCCTTTGGCTCGACACTTGAGTGTAAAATTGTACAATTTTCGATTTCCAAGACACTTTTGTTTCTTCTTGTTCAATAAGGGATCTTGTAGAACAAGATGTTCAGCCGATTTTGGTACATGTTGATGGTAATTCATCATTAAATTCAGATAAGACTTGAGTCAATATACCTACAAAAAACAAGAAAAATACATATTAATCTGAAAAAAGATTAGATATATAGTTGTTTTTATAGTTCAGGGATAGTTTTGTATTGTTGGTTTGATAATATCAGTAAGAAAAAATTCTAGTGATGCCGAAACAAGACCATAAGTAATATATTAACATACCTGATGATTAAAGTTGAGAGTGGATGCAGTTGTTGGAGGGAGTGAAAATAACAGTAGAATGGTGGATGCTGTTGCTGTTGTGTAAATCTTCGAATGAATTCACTATGAGGAATTTCAGCCTATTTATAGGCAAGGCGATATGCAGTGATCTCTCCTAGGACAGACAACAGCATCAAGAGAGACGACACAGAAAGAAAAAGACACACCACGGCATAATACAAGAGACAACATGATACGGACAGACAACGTCATAGTTGAACTGTGCATAGTCTAAGGACAGACCACGTCAACCTCTAATATAGAATAGAAAAAGAGACATACGACGGCATGTAACGAAAGAAGAGGACATACTATGGCATCATAATGCACAGAAGGACAGACCACAGCGTATTTCGATAGACCATAGTGAACACAATGTTTTTTCTTGAAAAAAATTTTTAGAATAATTTGTTTAAAATTTTAATAAAAATTCTTGAGTTTTTTTCAAAAATGCATTACGAAAATAGAACCTGATATATTTTTATCTAATATAAATGTATTTCAATAATTTTTAATTGTTAAGTTTAATTCTTTTCTTATGTATTATTAGTTTGTATCCCAAATTTCCACATCTAATATTTTTGAATACATGGTGTAATTAAATATGACGGAACCAATGCACACTATCTCATGAACATAATTATAATTTTATTTTCGATACTCTAAGCATAATTCACTAGGATTTTTTTTCGAAAATCGATCATGAATATATTTAACAGTATGTTTTATTATTTATCGAAGATTACAGAAAAACAATTCTGAAAGCTGTATTAGAAAGTTTTCATATAAAGATTTAAAAATTTTGTAACTTGAACCATAACTTTTTCATTGTAATTTATTCCTAAATATTTTTTGAAAAATATTCTCCCTATGTCTTGAACATTTCTTCACAAATTTATTGAAATGCATTGCAACATTCTTCAGTTGTTTTGAATTTTGTTAAAACTTTTAACATGAAAATCTTGAAACCATTTCTATTACTTTAATGATTGTTAGAGTATACGGAAATAGTTTTTTTTGCAGTCCAACTTCTACGTCGAAGCTATTATGATTTTTTCAAATCATTTACAGAAACTTCGATCATACTCTGCAATGTTACACTTTTGTTTAATGATATGATAGAATCTAACAATAAGCCAACTTCATTCCTATTTATGTTTCAGGTAGCAGTAAGTTTATAGATCATTTTCTGATATTTTATTACACCAATGTGATTTATGTCTTTGTTTTATTCACCAAAAAACAAATGAAACAATAACAAAAAACGAAAAAGAAACAATAATGAAAAAAAAATTTCTTAAAGTCTTTTAACATTCCCAGTCGTATGACTCGTAAGGATCACAAAGAAATGGCGATGGTGGTAATGACATTGATACGAATGTGGTATTATGTTCACTGTTATTTTCCTCGTCACTGGATAAATACGATTGTGATGTTGATGATGAAACTTCAGATGGTGTACGTTCAGAATCAGTAGACATATTGTTGTCTACTTGCCAAGCACTATGAAAAGGCAAAAACATATATTATTAATATTATATTAAGATTTTTATTCATAAAACATTTTACTTTGCATTTGAATTTTCATATGGACGATCAATTAGAATTAATCGACGTGAAAATGGTAAAACAAGCTAAATTATATAAAATAGAATTCACTTTGAAAAATAATGAAGTTTTCTATTTTACTCTTCCATTTTCATTGACATCAAGTAGTTGAATTAATTGCAAATAAAGATTATTCTTGTCATTACTTGTATTCTAAAACAGGCAAAAAAGTCGAATTCAAGTCTTTTTTTCGTTTTATATTGTATTTGTCTTTCTCACTTGTTGTTGTTGTAATGCTGTAGATGACATAGTTGTGTCTTTTAGTAGATCGAATAAGTTTTTTTTTATAGTTAAGTTTATATCTAAAATAAGAAAAAAGAAATATTGATTATGTATGGTGTTTATTCAATCGCAAATTTTTTCGTGAAATATTAAGGTAGACTTTAAGAAGGGACATTGAAATGTTAAACTTTGATTGTATAAATTCTAGTATTATGCTCTTTAGAAAACTTAATTGGATCAGAATACATGTCTAACGTAAATTAAAGTAATAATATTTCAAGTAATACAAGTCGGTAAAAATAAATGAAATGCATATTATTAAGAGCACAACAATGCGAAACTAATGAATAGAAGAATGTTAATCTCAACCTATCTTAATCCAATAACTGTACTAATATAATTAATAAACATCAGTTTGATATTACAATGAAACCATACATATATATGGTGTTACATGTTTATTTAACAAAAAACAAAAACAAGAAAAATATTGACATATTTATATTCAAAAGTTTCAAAAATAGTCTATATTTACTGTAAATAGATAAAGTTCTTTTTTATTTTATGTTATTAGTTGTATTTGTATCTTGATCTAAATTATTTTTTGCATCTTTGTCGACCTTTTGTGCCTATTTATGTAAAGATACATTATAGTCAGTTTGAAACAAAAATGTTTCGAAGTTAAAACATATATTTTGGTAACAAACATACTTTTTTCTTTACTAATTTATTTTTATTATTATTTGATTCAATTGATTTTGTTCGAACACTACTTTTTGTTTTGCTTTGTGATGACAACTTCTGTTTTGTTGGACTGGTATTGTTTGTCCACGAGGACTGTCGATAGGGAGCACGCATTAATGCAGCACGTTTACAGATCATTTTAATTAACTTTGTTTGCATTGTACCACTGATATTTGACCTGTTATAGTATAGAAATTTATTACAATTGAAAACAAATTCAACTATTATTTCTAATCAATTATGAATGATATACTAAGAAGTCAGTGAGATTATTCTATCGTAATTAAATATATTTGTGATCGATATATGAAGATTTTTAATTAAAGAAAATTATAGCTGAGTAAACATATGCAAAGCATCATAGTCACACACCTTATATAGATAATTATGTTCACTTGGTATTGTATTTGTTAGTGTTTGTTACAGTAGAAAAGAAAACGATGTTTACTTTAATATGTTAATCTCTGAAATGAATATAGTAAAGTAAAAGAAAAGCGTTAGTTAGAAACGAAGAATATTCTAGACTAGTATAGAAGGACAGACCACGTGGAAATGATCGTCATGCCCTGGACGAGGTCATAATATGTATAAGAGATAAGAGGAACGGTCACTGTCTAGACATCGATTAATCCCTTT